GCTTCGTTCTTGTACAATAACTATGATTCTTCCAAACAAGGACCTGTGTGCTTTCAAAGTAATCGATCGGTCTTTGGTTTGCACCTGTTTCTTCTTGTTCATGTCGCTAAATGTCATGGAATTTCCTGATTTGAGGAGTCTTGAGGAGTCTCCATCCATCATTTAAACTTTGCATAACATCTATCACCAACCGCGTGTGCTGTTTTCAGGTCTGTAGCAGTCTCTCTGGGGGCTTCCTTTGCAGTTGAAATGCTAACCAGTTCTTGGCTCTCAGAAAAAGAATTAACCCAGCCTTGGATGAGGTCAACTATGGACAAAACTGCCAGCTCATCTTTCTTTATTTTTGATGACTGAAGCTCTGTATGCTGTGTTTCCGAGTTGGATCCTTGTACCATGTTTCTTAGCTGCCCAAGAAATGCACTTTGGTATTCTGCTGTGAGGTAGTAGCGCTGAACAGTTACAGGTTTTAAGCTAAAGCGTGTGGTTCCACCAGGATTCTGGGTATCCTTGTTCACTGTGACCTCAGTTGTCTGGTCAACTGGAATCCTCCCAAAGGGATTGCTGCTGGCTAACTGAACGGAAAAACTGCCTTCCTTGAATGCCTTCTGTACCTCAGGATTTTTGTCACTGAGATTTGTCATCTGAGCAAAGTAAGGAGTCAGGTATCGTGAATAGTTCACCTTGTCATAGGCGAAACACCAAGGGATCATCATTCGTATGGAATGGAGATGTAAATCCCAGTCACCTTCACGAGATGCCCGCAACAGGCCAAGAACTATTTCCTCTACCATGTCCGTGACATATGACATCCAGAATGCTGAAAGTTCACCGTTATTTCGACGAGGATGATTCAGGAACTCTCTCCACATAGTCATCACTTGAGGCGGGACTGGGCATTGAAGCAGCTGGTCTAAGCTCTCTTCCTTCAAATTATTAGCCAGTGTATCCACCTGCTCAAGAAAAGACGCTACTGTGATGCGATGATTGGGATCGCTGTTCTCAAGCCTTCTCGTGAACTCAGCCCATGCTAACCTCATCAGTGCTTCATACAGGTACTTTCATGCAGGCCACGGTTGTAATGCTTTCCATCATTGACACCACTTATGGAGCCCTCAGCAACTATCTGTGATTCAATGAAGATGTCCGTCAAACCGCTATCTCCAAATCGTTTCCCCAGGATAGCCAATGCAACGCAAATCGTTTGAAATGTTCCAATTCGCAAAACAATGTTGGAAAACTGTCTTGCTTCCATGCAATTTCCGCTGCTTTTGCGTGAAGTGCTTGATCCATGACAACGACAATTGATGATAGATCAAGTTTCTTCCTGATTTCCTCTGGCTGGTTAAGGATCTCAAACACTGTTGTTAATGCTGTTGCTGGAGTATTTATTGTCGGGAGATACTCTTCGACATGTGGTGTTACTTGAACTCGATCTCTTGTTTGGATGTTAAATTCGGTCCAACTAGGCACCTTTTGGACTTCTGAATTGACTTGCCTAGCAAGGATCCACAGCATGTTTTTCTGCTTTGAATTTCTCGCAGCTTTGTTGGTTTCACCAGCATAGTCATCCTTGGTTTTGAGAGGATGTGGTCCCACACGAGGGCCAGCGACATAAACGTGAAGTTGGGGTTGATGTTCTCTATTTCCTTTTGTCAATGCGTGGTAGGTCTTTCGGCGGTGGGTGAGGACCGAAGACTCTAGCCTCTACAGTGATTCCGTTGACACGGTGGGATGTTCCTTTCCCTGACAAGGTCTCCTCAATTCTGTCTATGTTGTCCCAGGCGAGGTTTGTGAAGCCGTGTGGCTTAATGGAGACGGGAAGTGAAATCTATTATTTACTCTGAAACAATAGCGTAAATGATATCAACGATTTTGTACAAGTTATAGATGCACTAGTAAATTAGCACTCAGTAATAGATCGAGTATTTTCAAACTTTAGATCGCACTGNAAACAATAGCGTAAATGATATCAACGATTTTGTACAAGTTATAGATGCACTAGTAAATTAGCACTCAGTAATAGATCGAGTATTTTCAAACTTTAGATCGCACTGAAAGGCTAATTTCTATAAGAGTTTAAAAAAGATTTGATGCGAGCTGATTTTTTTTCTTATAATACGAAGTACAATTTAAGTTCCAAATAGATAAAAGGTGAATTATCAGAAAAAAAACCGAGAAGCGGAGTTTTTTGCATAAAGGAGAGCAAGTTTTAAAATATACTAGAGTTTTTATGAAGAAGGTTAAACATATTTCCAGCTATTGATTGCCACGACAGAAATGGACTGTTTTTCCTTGTTTGTTAGTACTCTATAGATTATGTTTTACTGAACATCTCATGTTGTGCCTCAGTTCTGTCGTCTTTGTCATGCTATTTTGCAATCGAAACAAAGTTTTTACAACTGATTTATTCAAAACTAAGAGTACACAAAACTAAAATGTTTATAAAATTTATATTTTGTGGAATAATTAAGTGACTGATAGATATCTGGTAGTTTAAGCACTTACCGTAACGAAGTTGGCCTTTTCAAAATGGCGGATACATCAAGCAACAGAGTTCTCAGACATGGCATAAATCAACATACCGCTGACCAAATTTGCAGGCTCGCGTATTACACAAAATGTTCCCAAACACATTATGTAGATTCTTAAAAGTATAATTATGTCTCCACACTTACATATCTTCGCTAAGAAGGGCGAAACAGCTGTCCACTGTTGCGATCNTTGTACCTGTTTTCAAATGCTTCACAATTAAAGAATTTTTGCAGTGAACATAATTTATAATTAATATCTTAACAAAATTTACATTTCATGCAATATTTTTCCCAATATTAATTTCTGTAGACTGGAGTGATTTTATCACAAATCTTTTGCACCACAGAATTGCTCTGCTATCTATATCTTTAAAAATCACAATACAGTCGAACCTCGATTATCCGGACTATTCTCTATCATCAAGATCTGTCAGAATTATTTTTGCAACAACATAATTATAGTAGTAATGTAGTAAAATAAATGTAGTAAGCTTTACATGTTGTGTAATACTGGATTCGTGATGAATTAAGTTTTAAATGCTCAATAACACGACAAAAACAGTACAGATTCCGCCTATAAACCCTAACAGATCACACAATGACTTGGTTCATGCGACCGACATAAACAAATGCATTCTACATACCATTAACGGTTAACAGTTCCTGATCCAAGCCAGCTTGCCGTATACCAAATTTCGATGCTTGATTACTTGAAAATGTTCTCGGTTGCTTTGCATTGATACCTTAACCTTAAACTTAGACAGATCCTGAAAAAATACCAAACGGAATATTTTGTTAGTCGTATTGCGTGAATTAATCTCAGAATAGACAACTCTCAGTCAATCTTTTTGTTTATCCGGCGCAAAAGTTGATAAACCCGCAGACGTGACCTGCACGTGGGCATCTCGCCAACCGCCATCTTTGCCAAATGTATAGCCAAGTTTAACCTCACACCATTCCCCTCTGGCTTTATCAATTCAGTGCTGAATGTTTCAAGATGAAATCCTTAATTCTTCTTTACGTTTAACGCTTGTCGTTCAGTTCAATAGCTTACCTGGTCAACTGGGGCGGTCAGCTGGTATTTTAGCTTGATCTGGCTCATTTTTCGTGTTACATTACACCACCTACTTTCTGTTCAGTCATGAACCACTTGTCAAATCTTTGACAAGCTGCTGGGGGCAAATATGACACACCGCAGGCACACGCAACGAACATGTATTTTTATTAATTTCACTTCACTACAGAGAGCTGTTTAAATAGGAAATCAAGATGAGAAAAGCTTTAATTCGATTTTTGCAAGAATTATTTTCCATTTTCGTAAATCCTGAACGGATTTTTACTGCCAATTTTTATCTCCCGGTGACGAAAAAATAACACGAAATTAGAAGAAATTGAGCCGTAAGATTTAACGAAGTAAGAGAAAATGCGGAATTACATATCGACTAGAAGGAGAGAATATTTTTAGATATATAGAAATGTTCGCTCATGACCTGCAGGTAAATGTATGCTATAGTATCATTGAGAACACCTTTCGAAGAATCGTGACGCGCGTGTTTCGTGTGTGACACCTTACGAATTGGCGAGAACTCCTGCAAGAGGGCTTGGTCATCAGGTTAGCAAGAAAGCTTTAAGCTTATCCATGAAATTCATTTGCGATTTCGTAGGTAACTGAACGTCTGGAAGAGACAAGCATGAAGAACCCGTTTCGCAAATTAAGCTATACTTGTGTTTCGTGAGTGACACCTTGCGTTTTAGTGACAATGGACCGCCATTCATCAGGTTAACAAGAAAGCTAAAAGCTAATCCGTGAAATTCATTTGCGATGTCGTAGGTAGAAAAAGGGCTGAGGCAAATTTCGACCGGATGACTAGCGAATGATGCCTGAAACAGTATCCGGTATTTCGTGTTGATACGACTCATTATTCATGGCTAAATGATTACTTTCAGTGCAATGAATAGTCAAACGACACGATATTATTATTTAGAAAACATCAGAAATACAAAAAGTCATGACCTGTGTAAGCTTTCACTGTACAGATAAGAGGTTGTTTACTTCAATTTTTAGCCGCAGACGTAACAAGACACTGAGTAGCCAGCTGATAAAAGTGAATTTTGAATATAAGAATTTCAGGAAGGAAAAAGATGCAATTAGCCAGAACCAAAGAGAAGCTAGAAGCGATCAATATAGCACAGGTCAAAATATCGAATAAAACAGCCGCATGAAAACTAATATTTTACGTGACAATGCAATATTTCGATTTGTTTTTCTTACCTGTAGTAAATCTTTTTTCTCGAAATGTTTTACAATGTGCTCGTAAAGGAGCTGCCAAGGAGAGCTCTTGCAGAGTGCTTTAATTTCTAAGCCTAATAAATCACTGAAGAAGCAATATTCCAAATTTCCATATTACCCCGGCGATTTTGCTTATTAAAAGCTACTTTCATAAGCCAAAATGTGTTAATAGCTCATTTGATATCAAAAATGATTGACGTGTGCAAGCATTGCTTATTTTTACCATTTACCCAGGTTACCTAGCAACGACAGTGGGACATTTATTCTTAGTAACACGTTTTACACATGCTATGTTCTACTTTTTTTTTTTTTTTTCAAGCCGTAAATGGTACAGAGCCAAATTTACCGCTGGGCGAAGTTGTTGGTTCAATTCAGATAAGCCTTAAAAGTATTCAAAACGGCTACTAATTAACTGATTCAGATTTTTTATAATATTTTAGAATAATTTTTTTGCTAGTTTTGGTCTGAAGTGTTGCTGTTTTTGAATCTGTTTGACCAAAATAGAACATATTATTCATTTTCCTTTCTTGTAGTTACCTTAGTTATCTATATCCACAATGTCCAAAGTAAGGAACCACCTCAGGGATATTAAACTGTGCAAAGAGAATCACCTATTTCAGTCAATGTTAATAGTCGAACTGTATCCAATTCCATGATTTTCGAGAGTATAGATCAGTCAACTGACACCAGTCCATGCATTTACATAATTTTTCTTTTTCTTCTTTATCGACTACGCCTTTTTCATTAATGTCTCAGACTACACAAATATTCTCAAGTAGGGAAAGGGTTAAGCAAAGGGTAAGTACTTTTACAAACACACCTAAGAACTAACCTTAAAATGCCAAGGAGAACGACGTTTGTAGTATACCCTTATTGCTAGCCTCTAACCTTCAAGATATTTAGCCACTCACACAGTTTGCGTCTAAAGTAAGAGCACAATATCTCGCAGGCGAAGCATAAATTTTTTAAATCATTTATTAGATTTACCCAGCTGCCTCGTTTGCTTGTTGACGAAAAAAGCACGTTCTTAAGATTAACGGCTAATTTACCCATTAATCAGCTAATCCTTCACCTCAATGTGTTTTGTCTCGAATTTTAGTTTCACAACTAACGAACATTTGCAATGAATCGAAAATATACTATTCTCAAAACGATTCCGAAACAGTAAAGCAATATATGTTAACTCTTATAGTTTCTCTATTTTCCTAAAACTCTCTCTTTCCTTTTCGTGCAATTAATTATTCTTTTTCTAAACGTCAGCGTTTGGTTAATAAATGAACTTTACCTAGCGTGGGAAGTTCCATCATTATTTCTAACTACTCATAGCAAATCATAGTCCCACTAGCAAGCAATCTTCTAATAACGCGCGCAATTTGTCGCATGCCTTATATATCAGCTTTCAGATATCTCGTCATTTCAATTGAAGATTTTAATTTTTTGACCTCGATTCCATACGCGAAGTGTTAAAATGTATGATGAACATGTTCTTCATTTAAATGCGACAATATTCAAAAGGAAACAGCCACCTTAAAATACATCATTTATTACAAAGACTTTCTAAAATGCATTGGAGCCTAACTCAAAGCGACTGTACAAGTAATTATGGTAATTATATAAGAAAAACGGTGACTACGAATCAAATTACGAATGAACCCAGGAAATGGCTTCCAATGACTGTGCTAGGCTTTTGAAGTTGCTGGAGTTGACGAGTTGAAGTAAACCACCGCTCTCTTTTCTTTGAATCAGTGATGAGTATTTTAACGAATGAATAGCTGATCATTAACATTTAAAGAACCAGCTGGCTAAATAGAGCTATTCAGACCACCAGGTAAATAAATCCAGTTATCCAACGCAACAGTCATGACTGATAAATGATAATTATAATGATAACCCATCGGCAAGTCCATTATAGCCCAAGTTTATGCGCCGCTTTCTAGACTATATTCCTTTTTTTGCGAGTGTTTTGACATACTCAACATAATAGAACACTGCAAACGTCTGGTCAGGCTTCAGTTTTCGTTTCCGTTGCACGATGTGAATCAAACAACAGATTATCATACGTTTCCAGTGTATAATTTCAATAGACTATTTGCGCAATGTGGGAGATGTTATGCGCAAGAGACGCCCTGGGGAGGGGGACATCCATATGAAAATGGTCGGGGATGCTCGTCCTATCGCTTAGGGGTATAAATCAAGGATTCTGGTCTCACGCAAGGTATTCATGACAAAACGCTACTATTCTTGTAGTTGTCAAAGTAATTTTAAGGGTGCACTAGAAGACATAATAGAAAAAAAACCCTCTTATTTCCGTTTTTAGGCTCGATTTCCACCAGTCTCTCGCGTCCAGTCTACTAACGCCAGCTTCTATCCTGAACAGCGGCTGATAATCGAGCTTATTCCGTTTTAAGTGGTAGTTTTTAGGAGTCAAATAAAGCTCGACCCAGGCCCAGATTTATCTCCTTTAGAGGTTTAATTCAAATTTTCCGACGAACATTCCCGACCATTTTATATCGGAGTCTCTCCCCGAGAACACACCATCGACTAGGCAATCGTATCCCTGGTAGTGAACATCCATATTGAAAAGTTGTTATGATTACGTAGTCGATTAAAATGGCATTGAGAATACAGAGAAACATTCAGTTTTGAAAACAAACTTAGCGCACAGAAACTAGCAAACATAACATAACATGAACAACTCCTGATGTGTTGACAAATTCACCTACTTAACATTATAGGAAATGTATAGAAACTCATGAAGAGAATTTGCATTTTGGTGTATTGGCATTAGGGTAGCCTACGCAGAGGCTCTTTGGGATCTCACCCAATCTTCCTCCCCCGTGGGAGAAGAAGATTGCGTGTCGAGCGAGCCTAAAAAGGGTCTGCGTAGGAGACTAGCATTAGAACGTTTTGGGTTAAGATCACGTCGAGGTTCTTCGCTCGGGTATGTCCACACTCTTTTTCATCTGCTTAATTTTCGCCTGCAAGTCATCCACATTGTAAACACTAAGCATTTGTTTTTTGAATATGTCTTTTTCCTGGATAATAGGGATTGGGAGTGCGATGAGTATCACACCAGCCACACAACATATAGCTCCAACAACTTGACCCAGAAATGTTGACGGAACCATGTCTCCATACCTGAAACGAAACCCAGTTAGAATGAACAAAAACTAAACGAATGTACCAATATAAACAAATCGAACTAAGTACAAAAATTCATTATATCACTAATAAATTAGCATAATTTGCATAATTTAGAATTATTAGCTGTGCTAGTTTTGGTTGTTCATACATTTCTTTTATGCAATCATAACCCATAATCATAATTTACTCTGCTGTAATCGGAGTTCACACATCATAACTTTTTTTATTAAGATTATAAGTTCACTTCAAGTCCTCATAACACACACCTTTATATAGTTCTTACTTGTCCTAATGTAAGCATATGTTATACTAATGCAACATAACGCATTCTAATGTAATAATAACTCACTGTGAAGTCATCACAACTAAACCTAATGGCACCGTAAATTACCATAATGCAATCATAATCTATTCTAACCGAATAACATTTCACCCAACATTATCATATTATTCCCATTGTAATCATAACCAATTCTAATAGAAACATAAATTATATATATATATATATATATATATATATATATATATATATATATATATATATATATATATATATATATATATATATATAATTACTTACTCGGATACATTACCACTCGACTTTATGTAATTATTGATTACCCATCATGTAATTGAAACTCAGCTTAATTCATTTAATCACTAAACGTAATACAATAACTTACCCTAATGTAATCATTGTCACAATGGTGTACCACATACTATCGGGGATGCTGGTAAACTTTCCTTCCACTGCTTTGCGTTCAATAAAGTACATTATGCTGGAAAAAACCACGATAGCTATCACCAATACAAACATCAACGACGCGAGATCTCCCACACAGCTCGCCATGGCAGCTCCAAATCTTTGCAGCCGTTTGGAATGTCTTGTTAACTTGAACACCCTGAATATTCTCAAAACTCGAAGAACTACAAAAGCCTCTAAGTTTGACCCGACCACAGATTGTAGCAAAATGGTCAGATAAAAGGGTAAGATCGATAAAAAATCGATAATGTTCATGGCGTTCTTGGCAAATTCCAAAACACTCGGACAAACCAGCAGTCTGAGGCTGAATTCCACTGTAAAAACACCGACGCAAATCATATCCAAAAGATCGAGAATTCGCATTCGTTCGTCGCAAACTTTTTCCACATTCTCGCAAGGAACAGTTTCATAGACGGTGGTAAAAATGCTAAGAATAATGAAAAGTCCTATGATGTAAATAATAACCATACCAAAAAACGCTCTGAATCCAGATTCGGCTTGGCCTTCGAGCAACACCCAGGTCCAGTTTCGCGCGCGGCCAATCCAACCTCGAGTTCTTACGTGTTCTGTTTTATCACAAGTAGGCCCGGACGCCGAGCTTTTACTATCGTCAGCGTTATTGTCTTCGTTGTCGTCATCAAAACAACAATCATGAACTTCCTGTGGCATAATTCCATAAAAGAGCAGTTCCTCTTCGAACGAAGCATTACAATCCTCGAACGAGCGATGGAGTTTACCACATCGATAATAGTTTAATATGTAGCGAAATAAGTGTGGATCCCGATCTATAAAATACTCCTTTTTGTCCTGGTCATAAAAACGCGCCGCCAATTCCTCTGAGCCTAAGAGAGTTTGAGGAAAACGTTTCAGCGTGTTTTTCCACGTTACAAATCTACGCCCTCCAACGTTGATAATTACTTTCGCGTCCGGACGGCGTAGCTTTAGGCGATCGAGGCAAGGGAAACCAGTTGCTGGGCGAGATAATGTCGATGGCTTCCGATCTCTGCAGTTGCGTGCTGTCGCCCTTGTTTGAATAGCGCCGATGTTACTAATCATTTTGTTCTGATGCCCTCTGGACTACGTCAGATGCTTTTTTCATGGCCCTGAACCAAAAACAAAAATAAACCGTAATGTTAGTGTCAAGTTCTACTTAACAATTAGAATACGAGCCAGAGATTTCTATCGCGTGATAGTTGACTAGGGTGCAGCCCTAGTCAACTATCAGACTGGTACCTGGTTTGTACACCTCAATGAGCTTAATGAAATCATTATTTAAGAGTCACTGTTACTGATTGTTTCATAACTGACAAATTGTTTTAATTTAATTGTGTTGTTTTATTAATGGACGTACTCTTCTTTGACTCATTGTCCAAAAAGAATAAAACATCCCAGAAAGGATGAGGTGTTCTGGGCCAGAACCTGTTTCTTCCTCTGGCCATTTATTGTGGAAGTTAAGCCACCCGGTTTAGAACTAAAGGCAGACGAGGACCCACATGTTTCAGACGCATTTTGAGCTTCATGAAAGCAAGATTTGCTCGGGTAATACATATTTCGGCTTTGGAAATAATGCTCCAGCAGGTAATTTTGGATACCCGATAGAATTTAGATGGCAGTTTTCAACTCCATCGTAATAGATCTCTACACAGAAGGTGTTAAAGAAATTTCTTTCAGGAAATCAATACTTCCGAAATTTATAATGTAATTATGTGGTGTTTTTGTTTTAAGCAATCATTTGAAGTTTTCGGGAACGAGGTTAGATGAAATTAAGAGACTAGTACTTTTGTTGATTTTTAGATAAATTTTCGACTGAAGATCTAGTTGCTTGCCGATACAGAGAAGACGTTTTTAACTAATCGAAAGTTATTTCCTCAGAAAACGCCGACCGTAAGGAGAAATTGTTTAAACCTGTTCATTTTTTTTTAAGTTGTTGAACGACTTTAAGATGCATGACAAAAAAAAAATGAAATAGCAAAAAGAAACAGGTAGAACCAGTAGTAATAACTTAAGATACGCTTAATATCAAAACAAAGCTTGTTTTAACGATCACCTACACAGCTCTGCGAATTACTAACAACAACAACAACCATTTTATTTTACATAATACAGAGAATATCATACAGCAAAAGAATACATTAGAACTTAAATAAGCAAAATAACTACTTTTTCCTTCAACAGTATTTCTTGTGTTGGCCCAGTACATTTTATTCCCAGGCTTTGGGGACCAAATTTACCCCACGTGCACTTGGTAAATACAACTGAGAGGCAAGATTTCATCAACACTTGAATGCACTTCACATGCTATAAGGCGTCCAGTAGACACTGATTTATTTTAATCTATGTCGTAAGGTGAGGCTTGAATACCTTACCAGTTGGTAACTTATCTGGGGGGTGTTGTTATGCGGTTTTTGCATTATAATCCGCGCGTTCACCATATGCACAGCATCTTGCGAATTAATAGCAAATATATTAGGAATCTCGCATTTGTTGTACGTCAACACAGCAAATATGGTTTATTTGTAAAACGAATTTGTTTGTTCGGCTCAAACCAGCTTCTGTTTTTTAGGGTTAAGCTCACTTACAATTACATTCTCGATTACAAGAACTCTAATTAAATCTCCATAACATCGACTCAACCGTTAATAAACAGCATGGTTCCTCAAACAGTACTGTTTTTCAAAGCAAGCAGCTCACGAAATCGAGAAAACTCTGACGAGAGAGCTAAACTTGTGTAAACTCCTCCATTTAGCTGGCCTGCCTGGAGTTATCCATTGAAAGTATTAACTTTGCCTCAGGCATATGTTTGTAATATTCAGCACAAAAGCAAATCTCTATCAAGAACATGTTCTTGATTCTTAATTCCGAGAAGAAGTGAAAGATAGCTTGAAAATACAACGTAACTACGCCTCAAGAATATTACTTAAAGTGCGTGTTCCCTGAGTTGTTGATAATATCAATTAATTGATGCGTCAGATACCTAAGTATCTTAACTGTACTCACTTGAGCTAGCCATGAAAGAAACCGCCACAAATATTACATCCTGGGTCTGCAGTAAAAAGCTGTCATCTGGATCTCTAACATCAAGAAATTAGTCACGCTTTGGAAATACACACATACAACATCAAACAAAGCGAACTTATGACGGCATTTACAAAAAAACGATGACAACACAGACCTATCATAAAACCATCCGAACGATGAAAATTTCCTCCTCTCTACGCCGTTAAATAACACAAATAAATAATATATAAACAAATCTTCACGCGTACGGTTTCCTTTTAAGCGGTATCCCATCGTTCCTGAACAATGGCCTGTAATCTGACTGAGAGAAATTGGTTTATTGTTTTGTTTTTTTGTTAAGCAGCTAAGCTTACGGGATGTATTCGCCACCAAGATGGAACTATTGACAGTGTAGCGGTCGCGAATCGATCATCGCATTAAACCAAATCAAAATGTAAATATTTGTTTGCCTGACAAATTGGAGGCTTTTGTACGTTTGGTGGAACCCAAAAACGTTACGTCCCATTGGCTCGCTTTTGTAACCAGTTTTAAATTAATAACCATGTTGTGGTTAAAGTTTTACAGTACAACTCCACCGATATATATATAAACTTACGCAGTGTAATAAAAACACCTTTTCGCTTTGTAAACTCAAGTCTTGCAGCGTCCATTTTGGTCTCAGATCAACGCATGCGCACACAGATAGGCTATTTCAGCTGCAAATTCAGCCAACCGCTCCTGGTCGATAAGAGGGGACTGCGTTCGCTGGCTGAGAGTTTACTCAGCTAAATTATAAGGTAAACTGTGCTTGGTGCATATAATTATGTGTTGTATTGATTTTCAAGCTTACCTTTACTTCCTCTTGGCATTAAGTATTTAGAGAACATATTATTGACAGAGATTTAATTGCTTTTGTGCTGTACTTCTTTTCAAACAATTGAAAAGGCTGACCTTCATGGTTGTAGAGCTTTTTGCTTGCCGCACCGAAATTGTGAAATTCAATGCCAGAGGATATTAAGAAGGCGGACAATGTGGACTGTTTTAAAACTTAACTAAGGACGTTTATTTTTTAGAAAGCTATTTATGTTAGTTAGTTGCGTACTGTTTATACATATTTAAGTTAGATAGGGTTTTTTGCTTTGTCTTAATTTCAATTTGTTAAATATTGTAGGGCTCACTGGATTCGAGATAATACATCCTATTAGAATGTAAATATTATAATTATTGGTTGACAAAGCTTATGGTTATTATTTCTAATGATGGCGTTAATGGACCGAAGCCAAAATAAAGCGCCATAAAACACTGCCATTTTGACAAAGCATAAAATAAAGAACTTTTCAGTATGCGCTTTTTAACATGTTAATGGAACTGAGTGCGAAGGGAAAACTTTCGGCCAGGCTGTTCTAAGAAGAGGTTGGTAAAGGGGGGTATAGATCACGTTTCACGGAAAATAAAGCAGCCCTTTCACAATTCACGAAAAATACAACATTAGCATTTCACGCTTCGCGGAAAATAAAAGAGAACGTTTTGGAAAATCACGGTTCACGGCGACTATGGAAAACACGATTCACGAGGAAAAAAATGGCTATTTCACATTTCACAGGAAATAAAAAGGGCCGATCACGGGTCACGAAAATACCCTTTACCACCCTCTAAGAACATTGCAGATTTTCAAGGTAATATTGTTCTAAGGATTATTTAAGTTTTGGATTGGCTATTTTGTAAAAATAACATGGTTGTCATCGGTAGAAGATTCCTCGTTTTATAATTATCGATACTCAAAAAACATTGAATATACATTACAATGCCGTTAAAAGCTTTTATAACATTGAGCAGCTCTCAGCCGAATGATTCTTGAGTGCCATACAATATGAAAAATACGAATAAAAGTATGCTAAAAAAAGTCACGAAAATAAATCAAGAAGTCTTATTTATGGTGGAAACGGCTCTTGTACCCACTGGGCAAAAATTTCGAGTATAAGTTGAGTATAAGTTGAGCCGGCAATCAAATATTGTCTACAAGAATCTGCCATAAATCTGTATGAAATCGTTCCTTTTTTTTTTGCACGTTTATGGACCTCGCTTACGGCTCGGTCCACAAACCTGCAAAAAAAGGTTAATATTTCTCCAATACAGACCTCACACTAGTTCAATAACATACAATTGAACCCCTAAACAGCCACTGCTATTAGGCGACCAGTAATCAACGTCCCGATGATGGCTTTTCTCTTGTTTTACCTCTAAGCGGCCAGCCCCCTTTAGCAGCCACTATCCTTTTCCCCCGAGGGTGGCCTTTTAATAGGGGTTGAAGTGTGTAGGTATTGTCCGCTGAGAGCTCTTGCAATTGACACGGTCGAACTATACATACACATTAGGCAGAGCCAAAGTAATCGTTCTTTTAGGGCAGGTAGGCGCTAGAAAAGGTAGTTTTAAATTACACACACTTTTCCTGACGACCATACAATTAAAATATGAATCAAACTGCCAAATAATGGGTAAGATTTAGTTACAACGGAAAGCCGGATCAAATAGACTGAGAATCGAAGAAACTTGAGGAATTAGCTTTGGAAAAACGTTCCTTCCTGAACTTTATTCGACTATTAGAAGCGCCGGTTGTCATTCAAAGAGCTAAGAAAACATAAAAGTATACACCATCTGCCTGTCAACCAAGAAGAAATTTTCATCGACTCTCACCGTGAAAACTCAGTCAAGCTCTTCCCAGTCCCACTCGAAATTTAATGCTTACCCGAGATCCTTTTCGCGACCGGCGAAGTCGCGGTAAAGAAATATGGAGAGTTCTTTTGCAGTTTATTTATGTTGTGTCGCAGTCGTAAATTTTCGTTCTCTTGCTGGGACCCTGCGGCGAACATTTCATTGAGCGTTACACGAAGAATGGACCAAAAGAAACGCCAAAAAGAACGTCGGAGCAAAAATATCAACTACAACAGTCGAATCACCTGTTTTCAAATAAATTTACTCTTCAGAAAACTCATAAACCAATACCACGCTGAAATTGTGACAAGGAAGAATTTGTCACTTTAATTTGTCGCCTTTCAGTAATAACTCATCGTCATAAAAGCTTTCCGGATCGATCGGAAGCTCAAAATAGCGGGGGAAATGACAGAACTGAAAGAGAAATTAAAATACCAGCTTGTGCAAGTACAGATCACAGTCCAGTTGATAAGGAAAAGTTTTGGCACTAACATTAATTTTAACTCGGCAGCATTAAGATTCGTCACCTCTTGAAGAGTGTAAGCTTGCCTGTTTAGACAAGATCCAAATAAAATAAGATTTTCGTCTAATTTCACCTTGAGCTAGGTTTTGGAGGTTTAAAATTTACCTCTACTTTGGATTTCGTGGTTTCATCTTTCTCTAAAAGCATTGCTATATTAAAATCAATCATATTTTCTCCACGTAGGGGAGAAAAGTAACATGCAGGTAACGTGTATGCGGCGAAAAATATAAACTGCGTTTACAAAATACAAACATAACAGTATTTAACTATTACAGTCACCTGTTGTAGCCGTGGCACAAAGCATTGCAGTCTTTGAATAATTATATTCTGTAGGGACGTTGAGTTAGAGCACTTTAACTTCATTCGTTGTAATTTCGAGCGAGTGTTTTTTTTTTTTTGAAATGACACAAAAAAGAATTTAAGGACTCCTCTTTCGAAAGCACGAACGACTTTACTTTAGTTGATGTGATTTCTGGAAGTTGATCTCATAAGTGAAGTCAAAATATCAAGATTGCGTGTCTAAATTGAGTTTTTTTGACGCCATTCATGGTGGGAGGCATTTTTTAAACGCTGACTTCGTTTAAAATTGCCCCGAGGCGAAAGCAATTTTTAGTCCGGACACGAAAATTGTTTATTTTATTTTACTCCAAACGAACAACAAAGAAAAGGTGTCCCTTGGCTTTTGTTCCCGAAAAGTTTTAGCAATTCTAATGGCGGTTTCGAAATCATCCTCAGAGCTAGTCGGATTTGACAAAAGCTGTCTATATGAATCTCTTCTCAGGTTTCCTTTTATAGATTACATAGAGCCTAAATTCAAAAGTCACCAATTTAATTCCTCGGCTTCGACTAAATTTGAAGTTAACTGCAAAACATATCATTTCAAAATAAGTTAAACTCGCTGGGATAACAATGTAATCCTTTTTGATGTTCCAGGCAAACTGGCTGATTTTACTGGTTCTCAATAAAAGTGCTCTTTATCTTGTGAATATTCAGATCTACATTGATCATACAAAGAACCCAGCGGCAGATCGTTCTAAAGCAACATCAATTTGAATCTTAATTCCTTGCCTTTTAATTGACCAGCGCCGGAAAAAGAAAACGTTTAAAAAATGATCCCACTGAAAAAAATTATTTAGCGTATTTTCCTGGCGTGTTTAAGCTCCGGTTCTCTTTTCATCTGTAGTTTTGTTGGTATTTTGCGCTCCAATCCACTGAATCGAAGGTCGAATTAAAGGATGTATATATGTGAACAAAATTAATGACTTTCGTAAAAATTTATGTTACCTCAGCTGCTAAGCGCTAGTGAGTTCCCTAACTTCAATGGCGATTCTTCAGATGTTTGCGAGGACGGACCGAAGCTTCAAACGATGGACGCAATTTTGCCGCTTTTCAACGATTGAACGGGCAAATATCAAATTTATCGCCCAGGGAAGTGATAATGATGGACAAAGGAGAAAAGTGATTGACACTTACTAATTTTAAAGCCGGAATTGTTTGAATTTCAAAATGCGTTTTAAATATTTCAGAATTTGTTTAGAGTACAGCAATAAATTGTGAATCGTTGGAAGAAAGAAACCCTTTGTATGAAACACCACTTTTGAATTTCTTTCTTATCAAACTCATTCAAATCTGACACGAATGCCGAATGAATAGCTTTCGATACGTGACGAACATCGTCCAAATAACACCTGCTTAGAATTCAGCGCCTTTTACCAATAAGTACACATCTTGCTCGCAGTTTTACAAAAGAAAAAGAAAACAAACACTTTTTTGAAGCCAATCAGTCAGAGAGAAAAAAAAGAATCTTCAAATCTCAATTTAACTCTCTGCATTGTGTTTTATGTCCGGCGATTCGAAATAACGCGCCTCAATAATATTTGTCAGCGACATTGAGATTATCTATGGAAATTACTCTATTTATTTACTTAGAGTAGTGAAATATGCAAACAACGTCGCGTCTTTGTAAAGCCCGAGCTTAATACTTTTGGAAGACTTGTGCGCATGCCCAAGTTTTCGCCTCGTTCGGAGGCTCGTTGGTCTACACTTGCGCATTCCCAGGGCTTGCTTCCCCTTTGACCAGCGGTTGAGGAACAGGAAGCTTGGTACTTTTACGGCGATGTAGCAAGGCACGAAACGTAGTTGAGACAAACTGCCACACTTGCACTAGCTACATTGAGGGAAACTTGCTTCTCTCGAAATTGAGGCGTTAGCGAGTGAAAGAAAAAGATCAACTTTAGGGCACCATCTCCGAGTAAAAACTTCCGGACTCGGGGGCGGAAAACAGGAGGTCGCGGATCTTTGAGCCTACTCGTCGGAGGCTTAACAATATCCGTAGACCAAAACAAAAGCTTCCTTGTACATGCTATATGCGATATCCGTGGGAAGCAAAACGGTTAGCGCCCAGACTCCTAATAACGCGTCGCCTGGCTCGCCACATTATAAGTGATCGGTGTTGACTTTTCGGGAAACAATGTTGCGTGGTTGCATTGTGTACGCAATATCACTCTTAATTAAATTCTTCCGTCAATGCAGCCCGCGGGCAGAGACAGAAATTAAAAAGCGGCAACAACTGTATGATTCGGCTGAAATTAAAACACCCGCCAAAACTGTCGTAAACGCGACGGTGCTCTGTCGTTGAAAATTAAAGCTAATAATGGCGGGCAGCCTGCGGTTGCTATGTATAACAAATGGTAATAGTGGGGTTTCTTACGATAACTCAGACAAGTTGTCTATACAAATATCCCAATTGTTACGCTTTAAAAGCTTTATAATCTTCCGTTTTACACTGCATTGCAAAAAGCGATGTGCAATGTGGAAGATTTTTTTGTCTCAAGATTAACGGATTTTTAGCACTTGAAAAGCGTATGAGACGATGTTCGCAATTTTACAAAACTCAATAACGTGATAAATTAAACTTTTTTAAGCTTAATTTATACCGAAACAAACGCTCAGCGAGGGGTACTATAATGTTTACCCAAACGTTCGTGAACATAGGCGACAAAAGTCCGGAACTGATTATAAAATATTGTCCCTGTTGCAGCTCAAACTCGACAGTTTGGCAAAAAGTTAGACTATGGCAAAAACAAAGCTTCTATTTGACAAGAAAACTAATAATTATGCAAAAGTAGCCACTATCGTCTAATTGTCGACCATGAATGCGGATAAATAAGACGAAATATAACTAAAATTCTGGCTCTTTACCTTCAATAGCAGCGCCGTTTCACCCCGTTTTGTAACGAGGACGGACAAACTCCATGCCAAAAAACTTCCAACGATCAAGACAGGGTTGTTATTAGAATATTTCAAAAATATAGTTTACGAAACACATATTTTAGCGCGGTTAGAGCAGTAAACGATATTTTACACATTCAATTAACAAAATTTAAAGCGACCTACCTCCAGGAGACAATAAAACGAGGGTACGTTGCTTTGTAAAACGGAGTACAACAGAAGAGAATTTCAAAGTTTGATGCACTTAATGAATTCCTAACCGTTGGGACAAAGAGCTCGATTCCTTATAGATTTTCCCTTGTATAGCGAACCGAAAGCTATAAATAAATAATAAATTGGAAAGGCACGAATATAAACATGTTAATGAAGTCAAAATAACTCGTGCTGTAAATACTGTAGTTATCAAATGCTTTCTGTAGAGTATAGTGATAGCTTCAAAGTTTTTGTTTAGCTCGCGCGGAAGACTGACTATGATTCAGATATCGCCTCGGGTTGCGATTCGAAAACTCGCTAATCCTCAAACGGCGTGAATGTTTTTTTTTTTTTGGAGGGCTAGTTCAAACAAATTTTTCTTTGTCACTCGCTGAAAAAAATTTCCAAATTTGACAACCTTTATCACCCTTACTCAACAATTCAACTTGGTAAAATTCAAGCATTTTTATACGATATCTTGTATTTTCTTTCCTGTTATATTGGCCCAGACTTAATCAAGTATTCATTTAAACGTGTTTCGATTCGTCTCATCATAAAACTTTGTTAAGAATTTTTCGTTATCATTTCAGCTGGATAATTATATGAAAACAATAGAACCGGTTGTTATCAAGAGCACATGAAGAATACTCTTCTAATTATCGTATTTCAGTACCGGCATTGAATTGCAAATGAAAAAAATGCGATTCTTTATCCTACAGCTGAAAAAATAGTTGCTTTGAATATTGTGCTTAGTCATGGTATAGAAGAAAAATAAACTGAATAAAAATATACTTTCTTCTGCAAAGTTGAAGATCAGTTTTGCTGTTATAACAAAAACAAAACCCCTGAAAGATCTGGAAATTAACGCTGTTCATTTGCGAACTCACTTTTTAGCTTCATTATCTAACGCCAGAAAATGATCAAATTCAATTTTCTCCTTACCTCAGACTAAATGTATGGTCCAATAAGGCACCACAGGAAGGCAATACTTTCCCGGAAGAAATGAAAACCATGAAACAAGCTGAATAGCTGTAGACGATGAAAGCAAAAATTTTTTTTTCAAATAATTCGCAGTGGTTGCCAAGAGTTCAATCAAAATTATTAATTATCGCTTCATTTTCCCACAAAATATTAAAACAAGTTCTTCTTTCTTTAAAATTTCATTTATTTGCTACGTGCAAAAATAAATGGAAGCATTTTGATCGATTTTCTACAGAATAAACGAAGAAAAAGTGACCCATTTAATTTGTTCTGGTAGAAACAACAATTGCTGGAAGGTTTGAACTGCCGTAATTTTGAGCGAATTGACTGCGAATTTCCTCGAGTGTTTGTACTGAAAAGAAGTGACACTTAAGTGAATTGCATTCCATTCATAAGTTTTGAAGGACAACTTTTCCAGTTCTGCAATTAGCAATTCAGAATTGACAGAATGCCTATTTTATGAGTCAAGTTTCAAGAAAGTGTAANCCCCCCCCAAAAAAAACCACACACTGTCACACTGTCCTACCTGACAGTATGGGCTGTGTTCCAACCGTGAAAGAGACTGGATGTGAGTGTAGGAGAATCGTTCCCAGATTCCTATCGAACAAATTTAATATGGCGGCAAGCTTGTGTGAAACTTACATGTAGAAGACACGAGTTTGTGATTTTACACGGAGAAATCTTAATGTATCTAATTCCAAACGGGTTTATTGATCATTTTGAAGTTAGTAGTCGGCGATCTATGTCCGTCTCTACGTGTAAAGTGTAGTTTTAAGATGCTGAGAATTCGCACAGCTCATAAGTTCAACGAGAAGCAACGTACCGAGGACGTTTTGACAGATGAACTAGTGGATTTCAAATCTCTTTTGCTTTCTCCTGATGTCCTAAAGGGACTAAATTCCTCGGGATTTGAAAGACCGTCTCCAATACAACTGAAAGCCATTCCTTTAGGAAGATGTGGCTTGGGTATGCAGTGTGAATATTTGTTGATAGTACTTAAGCTAACTAGTTGCTTGCTTAATTATCCGATCTGTGTTTTAAAAGCCCAGTAAGCTTATTTATCTTATGTACTTTGTAGATTTGATCGCTCAAGCCAAGTCTGGTACAGGCAAGACCTGTGTGTTCAGTGTCATTGCTCTGGAAAGTGTACTTCCCGAAAGTAACACCACCCAGGTATTTTAGGGTGTGTTCCTTTGGGATGATCTAGATCAGGATTGTGATCCGAGATCACTCAGATGATGATGCATCAAAGGAGCTGATGAATCCGTGACCAGAGTGGATTCATCGGTTCCTCTGATGTGCCATTATCTGAGTGATCTTTTTATTTGATCTTCAATCCGTCATCATGATCTAGAGCACCTCAAAGGAATGTACTTAGTTAATTCAATTTTAGGAGTCAAGGAGCAGGAAGGGCTCATGTTGGAGAGAGAATGCTGCACATATAATTAATCCAGCTTGTAATAGTTTCCATGCCAAGTTTTCAAGTTGAGGACGTAATTTTATAGCACCTCAGGGTGCAAAGGCAATCTAATTTTCAGGCTTGTCCTTTGAGTAACCTGTAAAGTTCTGATGTACTAGCCTGAAAGCAAGCTTTTAGCTAGTTGGGTGTCCAGGCATCCTGTATGATAGAAAATTGTTTTATTTTTCACATACTGGTTTTTAAATAATTGTTCATTTAAGCGGATCCTATTAGCTATAGCACATTTTGGATGCCTACTTATCAAATCCTGGCTGAATAGAATACACTAGCCTAACTGCAAAATAATAATTATTAATAAAAAGTATTTTATTTATGTAACTGCAGGTGCTGATTTTGGCTCCGACAAGAGAGATTGCTGTCCAGATCAAAGATGTAATATCTGCGATTGGTTCACAGATGGACAACATGGTATGCCAAGTGTTCATTGGTGGACTACCTGTAGATGAAAACAAGAAAATACTCAAGAAGCCATGCCACATTGCAGTTGGTACTCCAGGTAAATAAATTGTTGATCAGGATCTGCCGAGCTAACAGGAACGAAAACCATGAAAATGTGGTAGGTTACTGTCAGTTGGAACTTAAGGTTATAAGAAGTTACAGACAACTCTGTCAAAGTAAATGCAACTGTAAGGTTAAGTCTGCATACGAGCCAAGTGGCTCATCAGGCCGATGCTTATCTCTGGTTTCCGTAATATGAAGCACCTAGGATTTGCTAGTCCATTTCAGGGCTGCTCCCCCTCCTACTCAGCATTAAGTTCACCAGTACCCATTTGTACACCTGGATGGAGAAAGACACTGTGAAAGTTAAGTGCTTTGCGCAAGGCACCAGACCACTCAATCAGTCCTGAATTGAGCACACTAACCATGAGGCCATCAAGCCCACCATAGACTCCACTATAAGGTGGAGTAGGACACTTTCAGTTGTTTCTCTGTACTTGAACTCTCTTTAGGGAAGACTTGTCTCTATTAATTAAAAGGAGAAAGCTAGTCAAAAGAACCACTTCTGAGGGTGTCTTTCTTAGAGAGAGATAACATTAATGCCCTTTCAGTCAGGATGAATTGCAAAATTCTTCTTTAATTACTTTTTGACCTTGATCATTGTTAGTTTCTCCTGCCCACTGTTCCCAAGCTGCTTGGTCACGACCTGTCAGATGGTACATGTACACTTGTACATCTGCCTTCTCTACTGATACTGCAGAATTTCAAACTAGTCTTGTAATAAATCTCCCTCACTACCATCCTCTTCCATATTTTGCACAGACGGTTCTTCTTTACAACTGCAGCTTAGTGTACTGATGTAAGTGCAATAACTGGCCGGGGTTAACTTGTTGTTTCACTCTGAGAATGTTACCAGTCACACCCCTGATGAACAACAGAAAGTTAAATATTGTCTACTCCCATCTCTGGTCATGTTTTAACAGGGAGAGTCAAGTATCTGATTGAAAACCATTTTCTGAAGACTGAGTCTGTCAGGCTGTTTATACTGGATGAGGCAGACAAACTTCTGGAGGATAATTTTCAAGAGCAAATCAAGTAAGAAATATGCTGAAATTTTAAAATATAAAATATACTTACTACAGGTCTGCTAATAATAAAGTTGAGCATTCTGCAAGGAGACACCCTCGAGTCTATGTTTCAGTGTTTGCATTATTTAAGGGAGGCATCTTTTTGTCAGACCAGAGATAGAAGGACATACCGGTAATATACCTGTAGTGTACATACATGTATGCTGTAGAGTGAGAAAACAGACATGCTCAAACAGTTAAAATTCTACTAAATAGAGATGTATGTTCAAGTTTAATTTTCTCTTTGTAGCTGGATTTTCTCATCACTGCCATCAAACAAGCAAATGATGGCATTTTCTGCTACCTACCCAGAATACCTTGCAAAACATTTGACGCGATACATGAGGGAACCAACATTTGTGCGACTGAATGCCACTGACCCCACCCTACAAGGTAAGTAAAACTGAACCTCCTTCCCTGGAGAAGGATCAGATCCTTAGAACAAAGCAGAATTAATTACTTAAAAATATTATATTGAAGTACTTTAGTTTAGATGACAAAGGCTCTTTAGCTATGGGGAAGGTAACCATATTATTTACATTGAACATAATTATTCAAAATATTTCCAAACATTTCTTTAGTTGCTAACTTTCCATTTAATTTTCTTGTAGGTATCAAGCAGTTTCGTAGACTGGTGCCTTTTCATCCTTTGCCTCATAAAACATTTCAGGAAAAGGTAACTATTGTTAAAAAAAATACAAGTTTTGATTTCTGTAATATTTGTCTCATGCTTCAAGTAACAGGAAGATTGTACATCAACATGGCATTGTATTAAGAACAATGTTTCAAATTTCTGTCTTACTGTTTCCAATCAGTTCAGGAATAATTTGATTGAGTCATAACTTACAATACTTAGCTCATAATATCTATCAGTAGAAACTGGTGTTTATTGTAATGATCAGTATTAAATTTAGACTATTATTAATCATAATTATTACTATTCATGACCCAGGTCACTGAGCTTTTGAAACTCCTTTCAAATGTGCCATTTCACCAGTGTCTTGTGTTCTCCAACTATCAGATCAGGTAAGATTTCCTAAATATACTTTTTATTTCATTGATGTATAAATTACATTGTACCAGTATGAACAAATGAAATGCTGTGGGGAACCCTGCTAATTGGACTTAATGTCTCATCCAGGACCATGGGAGGGGGGGGAAGGAGTAGAAAAATACACCTGGCTACCTTGTGCTACAGAAATTTGAGAGAAGTGCCAGACTGATAGTTCTCCAGGCTCAAATCCAGACCTTTCACTTATACCTTATATAAATTACGTGTACATGTACGTTCAGTTGTCCTGTTCAGTAACAAAAGTGTAGCTGGGAGTGAATTTGTCTTATCTTATTGTCAATGTAGAGCACAGAGTCTTTGTGATACTCTCCGTTTGAAGGGTTGGCCGTCTGTCTTTATTGCAGGTCTGTGAAACTTTGTATCAATTTTTTATATAGAAAGTTAATATATTTTTTTAAATAATTTAATTTATATAGTTATTAAGCAGTTAACTCAAAATCGCTGCTGTATTCTATTGTCAGGAAGTCAAACTCAGTCCCAGCGATTGAAGGCCATGGAGAGGCTGAAGCAATTTAAGTGTAGAGTGCTCATTTCAACTGACCTGGTAAGATAATCGAGGTCATGATTAAATCCACATTCTTCTTGCTAGTTCTAAATAATATATATATATATTTTTTGCTACAAATTTTTTTATCAGGAAATTTTTTCTCTTGATCATTGTGGTCCTTCCTACTTTTTTTTTTGAATTTGTTGTTAGGACATATTGTAGTACATGTACATGCAGTAGAGTTGGACCATTGTTCAGTTGGTGATTTGTGTCTGATTTGGTGTTGCTCAGGTTACATGAAAAAAATTATCATCATCTGATGATGTTTTATTAAATACTTCAGTTAACAATTTACCAGATGCTGACCATTATGAAGGCAAGACCTGTCATGGGCAATGGGGCTGTGTGCCTTTATTTTCATTAATAGTGTACGATATATTAAATTATGAAATTATGAAACTTATTTATGGGTTACATGAAGCATTTATTTAACTTTTGGAAATAACTTTTTTTCCTTTCTTTAGACATCTCGTGGAATAGACGCTGAGAATGTCAATCTTATTGTGAACATGGATGTACCACGAGACTCCGAAACTTACCTTCACAGAATTGGACGAGCTGGTAGATTTGGTGAGCAGCAAGTTCTCCTAACGATAAATTAAGATTAATTTTAATTTATTATTAATTTTAAGCATTTCAGAGCCTGAAATGGAGTAAAGCAGCTGGCAGAATCTTGCCCAATAACACAGCATTATCATGATTGATAGTAAATGCAGCCTTGTCTCCGTGTCTGGGGTCTGATAATTGGTGATCAACTATTGTTTTGGCTCTGTAGTACTAACTACATGAACATCTACAGTTACTCAATAGATACACTTGTCGGAGCCTGATAGACGGAAGAAAATTGAGTGTCTAGCAAAGAGATGTTCTTGTGTACCTATGAAATTCAAAACTCTGAATTCTTAGTGCATATTCATACCATCAATCCTAAATGTTAGGAAAATATTCTAGAGTTGTCATGCTGAAGACTGGATAAAAAGGACTTACTTTTAGTTTTATTATATTGCATTAGGCACACAAGGTGTTGCTGTAAGCTTTGTAGCTAGAGGTGAAGAAGACAAGTTATTCAAGAAGATAGAAGAGAATATTGGTACCACAATAGATGCATTACCAGGTAGAGTTGACATTTACTGACAGTACAAGGGGCAGATTTATTTTTGAGAGGTTTAATACACGTGTACATGTTATAATCATCTTTCTCTTTCAGATCCCATTCCTCAGTCCATGGGTACAACAGGAACACTCACTGACCTGGACTGTACATCAGTGCAGGCAAGAGCAGCATCCATTGAAGTCAACATACTCAAATGCAATCGTGGGAGAGAGATAAAGATGGAGGGTGATGCAGGTCTGTCTCCAGATGCTGAAAGGGAAGAAATAATGGCTGATATCGAAGAAAGGTTGCAAACATCCTTGTGTCTTGATCAACAAAACTGTAAAGATGAGAGCATCCATGGGAAGAGTGTAGATCACACTGGGCAGAGGAACAACAGTGTAAGCCAAACTCAAAGAAATGAAACTCATTTCACAGCTGCATCAATTATGTATGAGCCCTCAATCTTCCATGATGGGAAAGAAAAAGAATCAAAAACAGAACACAGACCACCTTCTCAACTTGGTTCATCTGCAGAAAATTCTCCTGAAGTCAATGCCGGTCTGAATAAATTACAAGTAGATTTAAAACATTTTTCACAATTTGATCCAAGAAGCTCTCACAAGCACGAAACAAATGTCCTTAATAAAGCTAGCAAAAGAAGAGATTGTACTAACTCAAGTAACAAGGATGAAACTGTAGATGGCAAACTGGTTAAGTCATCTGAAGATGAGGGTAACTCATCTGGTTCACAGTCAGAAGAAGAGAGTTCTGTCGACAGTAGTGAGACTGATGAAGGTTCTGATGGTTTAGAATTTGATGAGCATGACACTTCTGAGAAAGCCAGTGAACAGGGTCACTTTCTACCCTCAGTTGATGAATTTGAAGAAGACTTTGAAAAGTACTTAGAAAATTTTTCTAATGTTGGAGACAATTCTACTGAAAAACTTCCACAACCAAGTGAATTCTCAGATGATGGTGGCATCTATTCTGAGTATAAACTGCATGCAGATTTCAAGGATGATAGCTTCGATGGAACACGTACAGAGGTGTATGTGGCATCACAGCAGTTTGACACCCGCCCTGACACATGCCATCAAATGTCGCATCCAGATAGCTATAGTCCTGGATGCCGCAATGAGCAGAATGTTCAAGTGCAAAATCAAACTGATTCATATTATTCAGCTTATCATGACAATATACTTTCTGAAGGAGGTTGGAATTCTCTTTATCCTTATAATGGTTTTTGTGATCAATGCAATTGGTTTAGTAACCATAACTATTACCATGATGAAAGCTACAACAATTATTCTCCATTTTATGGAGATCACGCAGCTAACTGGCAGGCTAATGCCCAAAGAGATCCAGATTCTGCAAGCTCGCAACAATGTCTGGGTCAGTTCTATGGTGAGTTCTATGATATTGGCAGTTATCAGGACTACCAGTGGAATACAAGCTGGTATAATGCTTATCAGAGACAAACAAGTTGTATCAGGCAGTTTGTGTGGTTTAGTAGATCTGCAAGGATGTAATTCCCTGTGACAGTATTCATTGTAAATGCCCATGATATTGCTTAATCTGCTGTAAACAACATCTATTGAAATCATTACTGCCTGCTCCAGGTATTAATTTTGAGTACATATGGTTGTATTGATATGGCAAGACTTCAATAAGGCAATTAATTTTCCTAATTGCCTCGAAAACTACTTTAATTACTGAGTGTTTACTAGTTACTTTTTCATACACCAGTAATATGAAGTATGTGTATCAAAAGAAGCTTTGTGTGTTTTCCTGCTAAAGAGAGGTTAAACTAAAATTAAATTAAGTTGTTGAATGGACCTATGATGTAGCAGAAAGCTGAAAACTGATTACAAAAGAAATTTTCATAGCTACTTGCAATCCATACGCTTTATAATTTTATATTGCACATTCGCTGAACCAGCCAATAGCTGCACCTGTTGCTTGCATTTGCTAGACCTGACCAATCGCATTGCTTTGTTCTGGGTGATTTTTTTGTTAATGTTTATTTTCTAGTGTAATCATTTTTAGGTCATACAAGAAAGAACACTCTATAGTGGTATTAGACTTTCTACAAATCCTGTCCAATGATTTTCCACTCTAAGTTTTGTCATTGAAAAGGATGACCTAATTCTTGACTTTGTTGCTCATGCTCATGACTTTGTTGCTCAAAGATATGCTTTGCTTCACTTGAGGAACATAATTAAGCGAAGGTTGACTTGAAGCAAGTTTGTAGTGATATATGTATAAGCTCAGTCGCAGAACTGACTCGTAGGATAGAGACATGAGCCTAAAAGGAGTAAACATCAGTCATGAGGGGGCAGTGGAAATTTAGTGCATTGATGAAAATTCTGAGTTCTGACTCAGAATTTTTCTTTGTCCCACGCTCGTGTCATGTTGATTAATTGACCTTCACATTTCATTACCGAGCTTAAAATTCACCATCTTTATTAA